AAAGAGTGACTCTGCATTTGATAGGTAAAAAGGTAAAGTCTACACTCAAGCTAATTATATAACCAGTCCAGCAAGAGCTTATCCAAGTTTCTGTTGCATGGGGCAACTAAGAGTATTACCCCTCCCCCCTGAATGGAATGCCAGATTATGCAAGATTTCCCCCAGCATTTCATTAGGCTTCTCTGACAATTTACCTGTACCCATTTATACCCCTGGATGGAGAGAGGCTTGATGACATAAAGTGTTTTGCCCAAGAACACAACACAATGACCCTGCTAGGTTTCAAAGCCAGACCTCTCAGCTGGCAGTCTAGCATACTGAATGTAAGACCACCCACTCTCTTTATTTGAGTCCTATTAATTATTACGAGTTCTTTGGTACTTTTACACTGAAAGTGATGTCATGTTCCTTTAAAACACTGAATAGAACTATAATTCATGCTTCTGACTACTATTCTGTTTTGTTCGGGGGATTACAAAATAGATCAAGATGCTTACTGGCAAGCGGTTTAAACCATGCCAGTCACACACAACAGCAAAAGAAATTTTTACACCTGCAGTTATGCATGACATCTCATTCATACTCCCATGAGTGAATTCCTTGACTTTTTTTAAGGATCCCCAAAGATTGAAAAATGCTCATTAGTACCAGGCCTTTAGCAATTTTTCAGAAAAGATAATGTGACTTGAGCAACCTACACCTGTAGATCTCTTAATCCACACAAGGAGAAGAGATTCAAGGAACTTGTTTCAATTATCACCCATTTTTTAAAATTATAGTTATACATAACCAAATTAAATCTAAGTGCAGGTTTTCATGATGACTCAGCAGAGTAAGAAAAGGAAGTGAACAAATACATTATCATATCCCCTTCACAAGTTTGGAGCCAAACGGAACCTAAGGATTTAATGCTAGCTACAGAAAAACCTGAATACATGGTCCTAGGTTTTTCCAAGTTAGCCTCCATAGGTTCCAATATAGATGGCGTTTCCTGTGAAAATATGCTACCTAGGTTCTAAACCATGTTCTTAATTGAAACAAAAAAACAAACAAACAAGCAACTTGTACTGGTGGTTGTGGGTGTGATATAGTAAAAACCTGCATAAAAGAACGAGTAGATTAAGAACACCCAGACTGAAATTTGGTCAAAAAAGTACAATATACATAAGAACACATTCAGCTTGAAAAATGAAAATTATTCTTATATAAAAAAAAAATTAGCTGCCAGTTAGAATAGAATAACCTACTAGGGTACAGTATTACCCTAAGTAGATCAATATATGTGCTGGGCTATTGCACACATAGAGTTTCACAGCAGGTATGGGAATTTCCAGGGTACATTTAACAATTGTTTTTAGACTTGGTTAATTGATATTTACTAAATAACTGTTATCTTCTGTCAGTCACATTCGTTTTTTGCTGCAGACACAACATGCTGACATGGAATTGGAAAAGACAGTTAAACTGAGCAGCATCACAAATAACCCTTTAACCCCTAAGAGTGACCAACATCTAATTTCTCCTTACAATATCTCCCCTGAATCACACACTAAGGTCATGAGAATTACGGAAATGATAAAAAACAACAGAAGCTTTGGATCTTTAGCTAATTCTCCTTGTCAGCACCTCAGGAAATGTATAGAGAACAGTATGGAGAATATGCATACTGATGTTAGGGTGTAAGGGGTCAAATGCAACACTGCAACAAATGAGGTCAACAATATCTGGACAGCCAAGTACAATTCAAGCACCCAGCCTCTGCCACACAGAACTTGAACAACAACAGCTCAGCATGTTGAAATACATGTACATTGACTACTTTTGTAAACATCAACAACCACCCAGGTGAAACAAACATACAGAGAATGGCTAAGAGTCATCAGCTTGAGGATGTGCCATGTGAATCGGCTGGTGTTGCACAAAGTCAAACTCAAAGGTGAAGTAACAAGCAAAGGGGAAGTAACAAGAAAAAGTCCTACACCGTTGATTTCAAAAAGAAAACACGAGATCTTTTGGATTCACTGAAACCAACAACAAATAATTACAACACAGTTGCAAAGCAACAAGGAGTAAACAAATCAGCGGTGTTTAAGTGGGAAAAACACAGAAGCAAAATTCTGACAGAACTGACTCTGAACAAGACAAAGAAGAACACAGGTGCATAAGGCCAATGAGACAAAGGAAAAGGATAGCTGAGAAAAGATCCCAAAACAATGATAAATATCCTCCGGCTTTCAATCTTTTAGTTGCAGAGTTTAAACTACAGAGAACAGCAAGAAGCAAAGTGTCCAAACTTTGGTTTAAAAAAAGAATGAAATTGAAAATTGAAGCATGCTATGGCACAGAAGAAGCTGCAAAATTTAAGGGAAGCAGCAACTGGTTCCAGAGATTCAAGAAAAAAATGCAAAGTGGTACTGAGGAGAAGGACCAACAAGAAGAAACAAGTCCCCTCAAGTTGACACCAAGTATAGAAGATGGATGCCTAAAAATAGATACAAAATTAATATCGACCAGGTTCCTCTCCCATTTGTAAATGAGCAAGACAAAACCTACAACACATTGGGTGCTAAGCCAGTGAGGGTGCCACAACCATCACCTGGTTTAGATAAACAACAGGCTACTCTACAACTTTGTACTAGGGCTGATGGGGAACAAAAAGTGAAGCCACCTCTTATCTTCAGAGAAAAAGGGCGTGTGGGCACTGAGGAGAAAGAAAAATATGACAAGAGGGTTGATATGTATTTCCAGTAAACTGCCTGGATGGATGAAGACATCAACATGCTGAGGGTCCAGGGCACACTTATTCCAGGAATTGGGATGACAAAGAAGACAAAGTTCTATTTTGCTTCCAACAAAGTCAAACATTCCATGAAACATGCAGAAATCAGATCAACACTACAGTTTACTTCCTGCCTGAAAACCACACTGACAAATCCAGCCCATTGATACAGGATGTGGTCAGATGATGAAAATTGAGATTGGTGCAGCAATGGAAACATGGCTGGAAGAGGAGAACATGCAGTCTCAATAAATGGCATGATAGACTATCAGCAAAGGATAGGAGGATCTTGATGACACAATGGGTTGGGGAAGCATGAAGTGAGTTAAGTAACAACGAGACCTTTTTCAAGAGATTATTTAAGAAAACTGGCTGTTTGCTAAGTCAGCAAATGGCTCTGATGACATAAAGATCTCACCCCATGGTTTGAAAAATTATCAAATTTAAATGGATCTGATAATTGGACTGGAAATTTAGTAAACTAGGTGCTGTCACTTTGCTCTCTCAGTTTGCTAATGTAAGATTGGGGACCAGTCAATAGTTGCATGAAAAGAGAGAAGGGGAGCTGGTGCATTTCAAATTTGCTTAACTTTTGTTGAGTTTCAAATTTCTTATCACCAGAACTGCTACCCCTCCCCCAACATAATATTATTGTTTTGATTAATGCAGTTAAGGTTAGTTCCATCCATTAATAAAGATTACAATTTTGTGCTTGCACATTGATTTCATCTGTTGATAGTCTATGCAGTATAAAATTTTTGGAAACAATTTTAAGAACAATTTAGGAACGCTTTCAGGCTGATTTTGCAGAAAACACCCCCCCTCCTTGTAAGAACAATATCAGCCTGAATCCCAAAACATGTCTTCTTTTGTGTGGGTTTTTACTGTACTGCACTGTATGCCGGCCTCATAGTACTCTGCTTTACATGGTTAACTTGTACACACAGTAAGATCTGTTGCACAGCTATGGATGTATTGACAGTACACTATTGTGATCTTATAATGCTGCCAGTGATCTGGCTAGTTACTTTTTGCATCCCATGCTATGTACAGTATCAAATTTGAATACACTCTAAAAATAAGAACCTGTATTAAGTTTTAGCCTTTTACAATGGTTCTTTTAAGAGGAGACACTGCTTCACTAGGAAACTTTAGCGTGACAGGTGATAAATTTCTTTTGCTGTGAATTTACAAAGCAATCAGTGGTACCACTCACGTACACCTCTTGCAGTTTAATTGTGAACTCTGTGTCAAGCAGTATGAATATCGGTCAAAATTTTGATTGCAGCAGTTACACGAACACAACACAATTTGCCATCTTTGAAAAATAATGCAAGTCATTCATTAACCCTTTACACCCTAAAATCAGTATGTATATTCTACATACAGCTCTTTATACATTTCCTAAGGTGCTGACAAGGAGAATTTGTTTACCAATCAAAAGCTTTTTTTGTTGGTGATCATTTCCTTTATTCTCATGACCTTTATGTTTGATTCAGGGGTGATGTTGTATGGAGAAATTTGATGCTAGTCACTCCTAGGGTGTAAAGGGTTAACCAGAATATCTAAACATGCTATCAAAAGGAGATGATCTGGATTCCATAGAAGAAGACTATTTTAATGACAAGATATTACAGCTGGTTTATTTACCAGACACTGTCTACAATTCAGTAAACTTACATCTTGATCTCAAATTTTGAAGCTTGGGACCTATACAAATAAAAATAACCATTAGAAAAGACAAAGGATGGTGAAATAACATGGCAAAGACTGAAATCAAAATTGATGAACACAAGAGCAGAAGTGATCATCGCTCAGTCATAGCCACAGTTAAAGAACGAATAAACATTCCAAAAATATCAATTCAGGTTGACAGAAAATAACACTTCACTGGTTTAAGACCTGGTTAATAGAAAATAACACATCCCTGGTTTAAAACAGAAAATCCCTGGTTTAACACATCCCTGGTTTAATAACAAAAAATAACACATCCCTGGTTTAAAACCTGGCAGTAGAATAGCTTGATTTGTTAACTGAAATTTCAAAAAACCTGTGGCTCTTCTATGGAGCACAAATGCAGAGTAGTATTTAATGATAATAATGATAATGATAAGGAATTTATATAGCGCTAAAACTATAAATAATATTCAGAAGGGCTTTACATAAGTTAAAGTTCTATACTAATTAAAATTAAAATATTCAAAGGCAATAAACATTAGAACTATTGAAACAAACTAAAAGCTTTCCTAAATAGAAATGTTTTAAGTTGCCTTTTAAAAATGGCAAGGCTACTACTTGTTCTTATAGTTAATGGCAGTGAGTTCCATAAAACAGGTGCAGCATGAGCAAAGGCCTGATTTCCAAGTGAAGAGCAGTTAGCTTTTGGAACAAACAGAAGAGATTGAGCAGACAAGTGAAGAGCATAATTAGTAGGTGGTTTCAGGGACAAAAGATCTTTAATGTAGGGAGGACTTTGGTTGCATAATGACTTGTAAACAAAGAGGATCAATTTAAACTGAACTCTGAATGTTACTGGAAGCCAATGTAGGTCGATAAGTGCAGGTGTGATATAATCAAATTTTGGAATCTGAAAAATCACTATGGCCATAGCTTTCTGAACTTTCTGTAACTGATTGAGCTGATATTTAGGTAGACCAAAGAGAAGTGTGTTACAGTAATCAAGGTGTGAGGATATAGAGGCCTAGACTAGTGTCTTAAATGATCGAACAGTAAGGAATTTTCTAATCTGTCTTATACTGTATAATCTGCAAAAAGCCTTGCTACAAATCTTGCCTATATGAACGGTCATTCACATATGGCCATGGAACCAGGACCCAAGGTTCTGGACACTTCCTAAAGGTTTAATGAGGGTGTCACCAATAAGAATAGATTCAATAGATGTTTCTTCAAGTTGTTGGTAGGTGCCAATAATTAGAAACACAGTTTTTGCATTGTTGATCATTAAACGATTAGCAATAAACCAAGATTGAACATCAGCAATGTACATCTCAATCGCAGAGACAGCGTTAATTTTGAAATGGATAGAGCAAGGTCAGAAGGAGAGGTAAATCTGGGTGTAGTCAGCATAACCATGGACAGAAGGGAGATGCTGAGAAATAATGCTGAAGAGGTGGGAGACATAGAGAGTGAATAAAATAGGCCCCATACAACTATCAGAAGTCTTATCACCAATAAGTATACGTTGTTTGCAACTGAACAGAAATGAGTTTACTGAAAATTATAGTGAAATTTATTTATGGAGTTTACTGAAATGAATTTACTGCAGATTTACACATGTGATTCCTTCAAGGGTTGAAGTTCAATTTGCCACCACTACAAACTTGCCACCACTTAAAGTCATATTGTGTCCAGTGACAATCTGACTTTTTGTTGTACGTAGCCTACTGTATGAAACTTACATCAAATGAAACTAACATGTAGTAGTATGTTGCAAAGAGGGAAAGGGACTTAGAAGATGTGTAGCCTCTCAATTAAGGAATGTTAACCGTTAAATGAAATAAAATTTTTTGATACTATGAAGATTGTGATCAGTTTACATAAAACGAAATCAGAGTGATTTTTGCCAAGTGATTTTCACTGATGTTAAATAAACTGCATGAAATGTACATCAAATGAAAACTCAGATGTTGTAGTCTATTGTGACATTAAAAATGTGTACAAGTACATTTACAGCGAAGTTTACATAAACGGACTTGGCTTCCTTTAATTGTGTTCATCACATGTCAACGTGATCTGTAACGCAACTCGTAATCAAATCTAATGAAACATATTATATGTAAGGTTAGGTCTTAAAGTGGAACTAAATTTTGGTTTTCAGGATGCAAAATTAAAAGTGTGCACAAACAAGGTACATTTTTTTCAGAAAAATAAAAACTGAACAAATTAAAATCTAAATAAAATCTTAAAAACAAACAGAAGTTATAATACTTCAGTACCTATTTGGCTTTCACATACTACTATGAACACCCTCTTTTCATCAGAAAGTTAAGATACTATCAATATCAATATCAATATCATAGGTTTGATCAATACTCCTTTTCTCCTGATGATAAATATATTTCAACAATTTCATTTGTTATTCATCTGAGTAACCACAATAGTATCTAAAATTTTCGGAGACAAATTTCAAGTTATCGATACGCGATGAAGCTGTATATGAAAGTGTTCTTACGATCGAGAAAATCGATATGTTTTACAGCCTTCTCAGTACAACAGGAGAATAACATTCGATCGAACAACAATTACAAGTCAGCCTACGGATTTTAATGAAATACCCATTGGGTTTCAGCAAACCCCATGAGAAAAGGAGATTCTGTAATTTGACTTCCTGCAAAGTTATGAAGTCTATCGACAAATTACTCGGATGCCACATCACTGCATCTAACTTACCATAAATTCGTGACTTTACCGCACTTCTCTAAAATAACAGCTTCTTCTGAAACGACACGGCCTAGCACCTGTGCGAATAGAAGCAACATTATAAATTGATGAAGGTTTCAACAAGAAGGGAAAGGTGGAGATTGATTTATGTGGAGAACGAAAGTGATTATTGATTACCGACCAAACGGCCAGCCGACCCCCAAATTGCGCTTTAAAATTTAGTACAGATAGCAATTTCTTGGTTTCGACAAACCTGGCTATGGAATCATCTGACTTTCTTCTCGAAGTCTCGTCAAGGTTCACTACAGGGATATAATTAACCTGAAAGCAATTCTGGGACTTTCCCCTGTCCCAGAAGCCTTAGTAAGTAAAATTTAGAATGGACTGGACTTCTGAGCTGTGGATCATGAGCTGTGGATCATGTAGCTTCATGCCTTATGTGCAATGCATACATTTAAATGTCTAAAAATATTAAAAATACTCCATGAATTCCCATTTTCTTCGGCCTGAAAGGAAGAGGTAGAACCTGCGGAGCGTTTGACCGATGTGCTGAACATGACAGTCCCATGAAAAGCCCATTATTAGACCTCTCTTCCTATCGGTTTATCGGCAGAAAATAACCTACGCGAAATGTTGGGAAAACAAGGTTATTTCGCTGGTAATCCAATCGAAAGTGTAGTGTAATGGTTTTATAAAATAAACATTATATGCTTCAACTCTCTATAGGTTTACCGGTGCAATAAACGACCAGTCAGGGGGCACGTGGTATCTTGAGCTTAGTTTTATTATAAAATGATGATAAGGAATGTCGGGAACAACGTTTTACCGATTACAGTTAAAACAGTGCATGTTGTATGATCATAGGGAAAAGGCCCCTATGACCTAATAACTCTTTAGTTATCGACAAGACATAAACAGCCTTGTCGCAGCTAACACATCTCATTTACAAAGATAACGTCAAGTCATTGCACAATGCTGATTTACATAATAAATTTTAGAAACCAGCAGGGTGATAGAAACCGTAGCTGCTGTCAATGATATCCATAATAATAATTATCATACATTCAACTTGCTCTCTCTTTTCTGATTGGCCCAAAGCGTACGATGAATTTTCGAAATAAGCGCCTAGGACGTCAACTAGCTGCAGATTATACAATAATCATGTTAATGACACTCAAGGAAACGGGTAGTCATGTCATGTATCACCGCGGTGCATAATTTCTTAGGGTAATCATGTCAAGTTCGCGCGCTTTGTGTTGCTTGCTGATTTGTACATTTTTTATACATTCAGAAATAAATAATCAGTTCCAGATACTGTAAAGACCATTTTTTTTCTTTCAATGTACAATAAAACTCTATTTAGATTCGGTGTTTTCGATATCCAGAATAATCGAGGTTTCGGTAGGGGTTATCAGCCTCGGCTTCAAGCTTCGGCTGATAACCCCTGCCCCAACGTTGATTATTCTGGATATCACAAAAACCTCATTCAATAATTGTTTATAACGATGGTGACGACGATGAAGATGATGACAACGACCATTACGACGGTATGACGAAATGACGATATAATGATGGTCATGATGATGACTTCAGTTAGTTATTTCTAATAAGCAGAAAGAAATGTATTCTCCTTTCTGTGGGAGAGGTCTACCTAAAGGTGTTTAGTGTATCACCCAGATAGTACGCACGCTATGGTTGATTATTTATGTGTTCTGTGACCTCCAGCACGGCCCACTAAAATTTAAAAAGACGGAGTGGCGTTTACGCAGCCAAATTCATAACATTAAAGATGGTATTTTCCTGTTGTTCTTTATTAGGCTTGACCTTTCTCGAGCTCAAAAGGAAAATTACTTAAAGTTTTAGTAGTGTTCATTATTGTGATGATCACTTCCATCTTCATCTTTTAACGTTGTTGTGTGTTTTGTTATGTTGTCAAGGATCTCCACGCTTGTCTCAGACATGTCTTTAAGCCTATAGCAAGCATGATTTTGGGAACGCTTTGAAATGGTTCCTGACTAAAGAGTTTAGTCCCGCTTTCTTCCAGCGCCCAAGCACGTACTGGCAATGGCATCTTTTGAAATTACAGAGTTCTGCTCTGTCCATCTAAACAAACATGGCAATCTGCCCATATATTGGCGACGTCGATCTGCTTTTTTCACTGGGTTTCATTTCCTTTTTGGCTCTTGACCACGATGTTTAATTACAAAGACGTCCGGTGTTTTTTTTTTGTGTGTGTAACTTAAAAAGGGGGCAAGACAATCGACGATTTATCAGTTGTTTCAGAAACATTTTTGCACACATTATCCCTAACCCGAAATGATCAGTAGGAATGGCCGCAAACGATTCCCTTTGGGGAACTGTAATTGGAATAGAGTTTTTATTAGAAATGGAACAATCATTCAATAAATAGTGTTTAGGGTAATCATGTAGTTTCCTTACGTTATCTAGGGGAACAAAATCGGAATATACCTCGAGGAAGACCGCCCACTGAATAAACTGCTAACATATGAAAATAACAATATCATCAAAATGAAAGGAATTGTTTTGATGTTCTGTGCCCACTATCATGAGTTTGAATGATTTGCGAATCTCTTCAGCGGTCCGCATGGTCGAAGGTCAATTGCAATGGGAAAATCATTTACGGCGCTGCACATGAAATATTTATGGTCAAGAAGAGCTTGTATTTGAACATTCATCAAAAACCACTGACTCGTGATCATCAGAGTTCTTCAATTTTACACCTATAATTACAGAAAATGATGAAAAAGGCAGGTCATCAGCGGTAGCCAGAGGGGGTGGGGGACGGGATACGAAAGTTACTTCAGTCTGCAAAGGTATTTGAGTTTCATAGGAGCATGAGGGAGAGGGGGGGGGAGAAGCAGTTAGACTTCCTGTTTCAATGCCATTTGTCAGTGGCACAATGTGCAAAATTTTCTATGGGCAGTAGATTCACCGACGTAAGACGGCACTCTTTGTGGACACAGTATAACCGAGTTTAGCAACATACGAGAAGCTTGTCATCTTTCAACGCATTATAATGCCCCAATCACGAATCTTCTCTTAGTAACATTTACCTCTTCTAGCTGTTGCCTGAAACTGTAGTTCACATCACAAATTTCAATACATTTTCCAGATGTTCCAGTCATTCCCACCTCAGAAAAGAACAAAACAGTGATTGCTGGTCTCTCCGTTACACTTCGGTGTGGTCAGCCGCATCAGACCGTCCAGTGGTACAGAGACAAAAGCAGTGTACCCCTAAACGCAAGAGGCCAAGAGCTAACCATTCACAGTGTTTCCTCAACTGATGAAGGGACCTATTATTGTGAGGTGGATCATGGTCTAAGAGTGTCCATTAAAGTCCTGGTTGTTGGTAAGTCCATGAAGGTTAATTGGTCTAGAGCGTAAGCAAGGTTTGTAGAATAGTTTGGCGATGTACTTTCCCTTTCTAACATGTTATTTTTTTTCTCCATTCTGTGATCCTTGTATGGTCAAGTGGCAAAGATCTTTTTAGCGTGAAAGGACTTTCTTTATAATAGACATGTACAGTTATCATCTTAGATAGCAACTTTCATAACTCCGCTATTACAATTATGCTTTAAAAGTGCATCAATAACATGACACAATAAAACGAATTTGACATCACAAAATCGAGACGCAAACAAACAAACAATAGAAAATGTAAGCAATATGTGGTGAAAACGAAAAGCGAAAAAATAGAGAAAGAGGAAGCTGACAAAAATCCAATGACATAACAAACACTAACAGCTCCTACATTGGCACTAAATGGCTCCTAAAGATATGTATACTCAGCTGTCCAATACTTTGGTGGTCCATCAAATGGACCGCCAAAGTATTACAAAAAATATTGCCTTGCAGCTTAGAGATATGTTTTTTTTTTCATTCTTTTCATCAGAGCATCCTGTTGTAACTGAAGTTAAAGGAATTATTCTTGAACAAAACGACAAAGCAATGATGAAAAGAGAACTTCTACTGCTTTGCAACACGGCAAACAGACACCCGCTAAAGTACGCATGGTTTAAAGATGATGAACCGCTGATTAAAGGACAGGACTCAATCAAAGTTTCCTTGCAAGATGATGAAACCAAATACACATGTCAGGTGTCAAACATTGCCGGAAGTGCTTCCAGATCCTTGGTCATCTCCCTCATGGGAGGACCAGGTGAGAAGATAGATTCATTTTTCTCAAATCTTTATCAAAAATGCTTTCATTTTCGGGTTAAACTACAATGGGTTACAAAATTAGTTTAAAATTATGTCTAAGTGGTACTTATGCGTCAAATAATCCTTTTTCAGGCAAAAAGGGGTAAAATTGCCAGTTTAGAGGGTTTAAAATGCCAGTTTAAACAGTTTTGTCTCTGCATCAGTTCATTCTCAATACAGCTCACAGCAATGTTTGATTCTGTCAGCGTGCAACGAATTACGAAAACGGGGGGCCACATTCTTCTTCTTACGTCCTCTTTCACCGAAGTGGCCTATGACGCGTAAAAGTCTGAGGGAACATTTAGTCACTTTGCATCCGCCTTTCTATGTGGCTTTTACAAATGCCATCTATTTGAACAATAGAGAAAGATGTTTTTTCGTCTTGTCACGAGCGTGGGACAAAGAAAAAATTGTGAGTCCCAATGAGAAATCGAACCTCAGACCTTCGGATTCCGCGCTCCGATGCTCTACCACTGTGACACAGAGACTCCACTGTGAGTATGGTCTATTACGAAGTTCACATGACACGCGTCCTGCACACTGCTAGGATCAGTAATTAAACAGATACAGTTTCTCTTCTGATCTCTTGAAATTACTGCACTATTATCCGAACAGAGGTTGCTTTTTTTATAAAAGGACTTGTTCGCTTCCGATGGGCCTTGTTTTTAGGAAACATTATCTGGACTAGAAAAAGTGTCTGTTCATTGGGGGTGTTTTCATGAATTTGACAGATGCGAATATAAGGGGATTTTTCAGCCGGACAAAAGTCCCTAGAATGGAGATATGGGGGTGCCCCTTCCCCCCCCCACCCCCCGAAACCTCCTCCCTTCGCCTGTATTCGTACGACCAAATAGTATTGACATCAGGAAGTTTGAGAAAATCACAAAGCTAACTGGTGGGAAATGACTGATTAGATTGTTTTTCTCGACACGATCTCATTTCGGAAATGTTAAATTGCACAGTAAATATTCTTGCTTTAAAAAAAAATCCGGTTATTAATATGATTATAAAGCTTTCCTTTTTTTAATGTTTAACTATTTTTTTTTCTATCTTTTGAAGAAGTATCAGAGGTCAGTACCGATCGTTCCACATCAACCAATTTGGTCACCGTCATTGCTGTTTTGTCCGTTCTCCTCATAATCTGCTCTGTTGTGGGTTTTACCCACAGAAAGATCACAAAGTTAATAACTGAGAAAAGGAAATCCAGAAAATTGACAGTACAGAGCACCTCCACTGAGATGGCAACTGTGGAGGAAATGGAGTCGCCGAGACCAGAGTCACGGACCGAAACTATCACGCGTGATAACGATGAGGTTTTCCCATATGATGTTATATCGACATGGACTGATTCAAACGGGCTTTACATGAGCTTGAGACGCGAGGGAAACGGTGGCGAACTTGAAGATGCCACGCAAGTTGCAAGAACTGACTATACTAACATTTCCCCCAGCAATCGTAACAATAGCGCAGCTAATTGCATGTACGCCCCACTGATTCATACTGCAGGACTGCAAAGTGCTAGAGAAATAAAACGTCCGTACGTGAACGTGGACACCATAGCGACTTCATCAGATATGTAGAAAAAACCCTATATGGTCTTCAAATGGCCTTTAAAAAGGCTATTTCCTTGTAAAACCTTGTAGTTTCTGTTTCTGCTCTTGTTTAGCTGAAAACGGCGCGAAACCGAAGTAACCCATAATTAGATCGTGTTCCTCAAGTGCAAAGCCGAAGTGTGAATACCACTATGTTTTCACCCCCGTCTTTTGAGAAAGTAACGAATCCGGCTAATCCGGCTAAGAGTAGTTTACCTTTATTAGCAACCGCTTTGTATAACTGTAGTTGGAATTATTATTTTTTAATTCTTTTGAAATTTTACTTGCCTCAGAAGACGGTTCAGTTAGGTTTTTTCCCCCTTTTGGTATGGACTACGTAGGACTTTGGAATATAAAGCTTTCATAGTAAACTCTGACCCTCAAAGCAATGAAGGATATATCTTGAAATGAGGAAAGGATGATCCAGGTACCTTTTAATTAATGTCCAAGATCATAGGTGCATGCGCTAGATAAGAGAGAGACGAAAGAGAGCTGGGGAAGTGAGTTGTATTTTGATTCCGAGGCAGGAGTTGAGTCTAACCCTTTCTACCATAACATCAGTATGCATATTCTCCATGTTGTTTTGTATAAAGTTCTGAGATGCTGGAAAGGAGAATTTGTTTAACAAGCAGGAGTTTCTGTACTTGATGATTATTTTCTTTATTCTCAGCACCTTACTGAGTGATTCAGGGATGATGATGTAAGGAGAAATTAGATTCTAATCACTCCAAGGGGTCAAAGGATTGACAGAGTGCGGATGTAGATACCTTTGTACACTTATAGCAGATGAATATGCTGTGTTGTAAATACAATTTGTTATAAAATATGTTCTCGGATCTATGTTGGTACAATTGACGATAATTAGAAATATATTGGACAAGACTAAGAACGATCTATCGTGAGAATTGTCAAAGCTGCGGTGTCATTTTATCTTCCGATGCCAATGAAAACTGAGGCGAATAAGACAAAATAGATTGTTATGCATATCTGAAACTCCATCCTCCTGGGATGGAGTAAAAAAATTTAGGACCGTGCCAACAATTAAATAGTGTGGTTACAATGTAAATGCTTTAACACACGAAATAGCGTTGCAATTGATCAATGAAGTACTGTCGCAATCAGGCTAAAAAGATTATACGTTATGTTAGCTTTGATGGGAAATTTCCACGATGAAATCTTGGCTGTACACTTTGCTTATTTTGAGGTTTTCTGTGTTAAAGCAGGTGAGAATTTGGTAAAAACTTGATTTATTGCATTTATACAAGACTTCTCAGAGTGTCTCCCGATCCGGAAGTTTTGGTGCATTTTCTGCAAATATTTTAATCCAGCGTTTAAAAAGCTCTCCCGATCTGAAAGTTTTCGTACATTTTCTATCACTACTTTACTCCAGAGTTAAAAAAACCTCTAACAAGTTATTTCAAAGAAAAGGAAACTACAATTTATCTTTACAAATAAAATTCTGTTTCACTTTTAGGCTTCTATGTTCTTGGTGTGTATCAACCTCGTTCTTTAGCAAACAAAATTGGAAAGAATCAATGGAAGCTCTCTACATGAGGAAACGAACTCATAAATTGCATACTGACACCTTCAAAGCAGAAATAACGAACACAAAACAATTTTGTACAAGAAATAATTAAAGTTCTTGACTATAAATGTTACTGAAGTACCGTTCAGGAAGATTCCTTGCAAACGAAAACTATTTCAATATGGAATAAAATGGTTTGTTACTGATGAGTTCAAAACACGTGAAAAATAGTGCATAACATATATTTACAAGATATTCAGAAAGATGTTTTAGTCGCAAGAGATAGCACAGTAAATCTTAGACGTAAACGATTGTGCACGGTGAGCGTAAATTGGTTGGAAGTTTTGGTTTTTCCGGGCTAGATTAAAGCACCCTCTGCCGAGCACAAGCGCAGTCTGAAAAAAAATAGTCGTCATTATATCGCAGTAAATCGTCTTTCTGAGCTGCACCGCACCAGATTTCGTCATAGCTCGTGCAAACAAGGCCAGCATCTAAGAGAGAAAAACAGGGAAAGAAGAGGGAACCGTAAATAAACTCCGTCGTGAAGACAGTAAGAAATAACAAACTACTTTAGGAGAGTATCCTGCCTTAACGTAGGTTAAGTAATAGTGCACGCATGCGTGTTGTAGGCTAGGAGAAGCATGAGGTTTCGGTTTTTCGGTTCGCCATGTTTTCGTCTTGCGAAATATTCTAACGGTTTGTAATTAAACCGCTCGGATAGCCAATCAAACCACAGGATTTACTTCATATTGCCCACGGGCGTTGGCAGCTATGAAGAATGATAAATAATAAAGAATGATAAAATAGTATCTGAAGAATCGCACAAAGAGAAGCATATAGCTGCAACCAAAAGGAGGAAAACAGACTAAAAAAACAACGGCTACAACAAAAAATCTAACAAAACAAACAAAGCATGATCTAAACTCTTTTTGGTGCCAAGTTTAACAAGGTACAGTAAATAAATTAAATAGATACACGAATAAATACATTAGCGACCAATGAAGCATATAAATAGAAACATTTTATTCAATTATTTACCCATTCAACGACCTAATTCAGTAGCACATGGAGGGGATTATTCAGTTTGGGTTAAATTGCCACATGATTGCATCAACTATCTTACCTTCTCACTCATGAGAAAGTCGTCTGCTTCTCGGAAGGTGTACCTGGATGAGCTTTATATCCGATCCACGCAGGCCCACGGCAACACGTAAACTGTTCAGGCAAACGCCAAGACAAAAAGGTTCTTCAATATCTAACGTAGCCAAATGATCCCCTGAATTTACATCGAACATTCGAAGAAAGTTACCAACATTCTCCCTTGAACAGACCATCAACACTCGGTTCGTGATAAATTTAAGATCCACTATACCACCCTGTTCGGGTAACTTGAGCTGTGGTTTCCCTGAGGTTGCATTGAAGATATCTACGATATCGGAGGTCCATAGAACAATGAGATCTCCTTTGGGAGAAAATAAGCCTGCTGGTGGGCAGCCTTCATCGTCGATATAAAACGACAGAATTTTGTGAGACGATGAAAACGAGGCGTCTGAGAGGTGAACAGCGTACTCCGGAAAGTACCAGAATTTCTCTGTACGTTGATAAGTTATCATTTGGAATTTTTTGTTCATCGCAAGGATTTTCCTCCCTTTTACATTTCCAATGATCTTGGAACGACCATCTGAGATAGATAGGACAACAACGGTGTAATCTTTGGTCAAACAAACTACTTGTTCTTCTGATATAGGTAGCAACTTAATCCCTTGTAACTTGTCCCACCGACGTTTACACTCCGTCAATTCAACGTTCCAAAACTCAACTGTATCGTCCAAAACAATAACACCATCTTTCACAGGTAAAATTGAAGGGAAAGTCTCGTAGTTTTTTTCTGCTTTTGGATTGCAACTTGAATATTCCCTTACAGTCACTGTTGGCGGACACTGACTCACTACATACACATTCTCACCATCAGTAGAGAAAGCAACATTCCCAACGTGCGTGTCTGACCTTATTTCGGCTTTTTGAATTTCAGCGAGATTTATCAAACTCACGTGTGGAAGAGTTGGGCTGCTTAATAATGCACGTTCGCTTGTTAACCTCATTAGCAATCCGGTTTCCCCGAAAGGAATAACTCTCGACAAGGCCGACGTCAAACTTCCTGTGGCATCTCCGACGAGGAATGGTCGCTCGAATATGTCGGGGTGAAACCGCACGAATCTAATTTCTTCTTCACTTAAGTCACTTAAGACTTTTTTGGAAATTTCATTATCAGTAGTTCTGCAGCGAAAACGGATCTGACCAAATGGGTCTCTGCACAGGCCAACAAGAGCATCACTCTCCACGGAGAAAGTCAAAAATCCCCAAGGTGAAGTTGTGGATATGGATCCTAACTCAGTTAGTCTATTCTGTACATCAAACAGACATAATAAGCCTGTGGAGTGGGAGACAGCCAGAAGATTTTTATCCGGAGAGCACTGAAAACAGACAATGTCTTCATTTCTGGTGATACGAGACATTTCTTTCCCAGTATCTAGACTCCAAATGACTAAGCATTTGGAATTGTTTGGACAGTCTGTAAGCATCGCAGTGTTGTCCCCTAATAATGTACACACAGAAAATCTACAATTACTCGTGCTGAAAAGCTCTTTCTGTTTCCCATCAATGGTATAAACTGTGGATAGGTTTCCAGGAAATATATGTTTTCCATCTGGATGAAAGGCAACAGATCGATAAAATGAAACCGTCATGGAAAGTGTTTCTGCTTCATAATCAAATTCAACAAAATTGCTGTAAGGTTCTTCATAATCAAGAGGTTTGAAGCAATTTTTCTTCTCTGAGACACGATTTCTCCAATGTCTTTTACTTGTCTTCAGCGACCACAGCTGAATCTCTTGATTAGCACATTCACACACCATATAATCCTGGTCTGGTGAAATATCGAAACAAAGCACATACGATGAACAGAAAAATTTAGCTTCCACAACTGAGTGTTGTTGATTCTTGTTGACCAGCTCCATATACGATATTTCATAATATTTCTCACTCAAGAGGTTCTTAGCTTCTGAAGATAGCACTGATTTTCTCCCGTTCACCATAGTCTGCAAGATAACATGCGGATGCTCCATCAGCGACCAACTGTTCTTTCGCAGAATGAACAGCAAATCCTCCAGGGAACCTTTCGTTTCTCCACTCAACGAGTTGAAGCTCTCTTCGTTTAGAACACAAACAATATCTTCCGTCGCCACTGTATTATTCACACACAGCTTTGCATAGACAAGCTCTTGGTTTATCACATACTTCCTCACAACGTCCTCAATGCCGTCTCTTCTTGTATCCTCGTCGACCTCTAACATGTGTCGAACACCATGTTGTAGGGCATACCTTGTCTTGTCATTAAACTGCGCGTCACTCACAGATTTCGCTACTCGTTTTTGCACCAGAATGTCAAATTCAGCAGCACAAAGTTCTGAAAGTATACGATGGCCTTCTCTCTCGTCGACGATGAAGTCGTGCACCCCGTAACAACATTCATCTGTTAACCAATCTTTAATGGACTTGTGAAAAATGTAAAGACGGTCACCTCGAACGGGAAGAAGTGAGGAAACACTGTTTATAGCTTTCAAAAGTTTCCGTTTACTAACTTTTGCGGTAGTACTTGAAAGCAACAGCCGAGAAGCAAAGTCGATAGGCAAGGGTTCTATCGATGCGGCAAGAGCAGAAAGGAAATTCAAAAAAGAATCTTCCTTGATGCCGAGCTCAGTGATGAGCTCACTCTCCAACCTTTTGAAATAGCGATGGTATACTGAAGAAATTCCTAACGGTAAGTTGCCCTTTTCGTCTCCTTGTTTAAGAACTGATGGATTCTCTTCGATGTATAAAAGAAGAAAGTTAGCATACAACATGAGCATACAACATGAGCCCATGAATCCACATTGGAAGCTTGCAAAAGTGATCGGCAATGACCTCAAGTAACTCATTCCGATCGTGATATTCACTTTCATCCAGGCCGTCTATAACTATTAGCATGTTCCTTCCAGGGTCCTCTACGCTGCTGAGAGGCTCTTTAAAGAGAAAGGCGAATAACTCCTCAACCCCCATATCGTTGAGATCCTTACCCGTATTTCTTGTCAAATTTTCTACAAGAGCTAGCTTAAACTCTGGCAGGGCATGGCACATATGACAAGCCAAGGATTGAAGCATTAACTGAGGCTTCCGGTAACGGACGTTGTTATGTTGAATGAAGTGACTTCCGCATAGACGGCCAGCCACTTGCATTTTCTTGCAAACAACGGCGGAAATGACAGATTTCCCCATTCCTGCGTTTCCACATATAACCATCACCCGGTTTTGAGAGTTTCTGTCGTCTAACCAGTTTTCGACTTTGCTAAACACCCACTCACGGGTGTCTTCTTGAAAACGTTGGACGTGAAACTCGATTTCTCCTTTGAATTCAGACTTAACGAGGTTCCTCAGGACCTCATCTCCTTGGCTGCCTGAGTTTCTTCCTTTGCTAAGTTCTCCAACGGCTACCTTCATTTCCTGTACATCTGTTTGCAAACTTTCTAAACGCTCGTCTTGGCTTCTAGCAGCGCCCTGAATGGTGCTTTGTATTTTCTGATGCACTTTTCCTAGCACTGACATGCTTTCCTGAAGCTTTTCGTGATCTTCTAGTTGGGTTTGACGTACCTCTTCAATACGATGCTGTGTTGTGCTCTGAGATCGATGCACTTCTCCTATCAGGGACCTGCTATCTTGATGCGTTTTGTGATCTTCTAGTTGGGTTTGACGTACCTCTTCAATACTACGCTGTGTTGTGCTCTGAGATCGACGCAGTTTCGTCAAATAAGATTTGATTTCTTCTTCACTTTGAACCCATTTAATCAAAACGTCAAGATAATCTTCTGCGCCACACTTTTCTTCTTTCAGTTTATCGATTTTCTTTTGATCCAACCCAAGAGCAACCAGAGCAGCACTAATTTCTTTCCATAGTGAGGAGAAAGTGGGCGTGTCAATGCCAGTGCTAGTGACGTGGCCATACAACTCATTGCGGAAGAACTTCACACGGGCAAGATTTGCTTCAAGAGAGTTGTCACCCGGAGATGGCTTTGAATGCCACCCTGAGCGAGGAGGAGATAGTCCGCAAATGTTGGCGAGAAGGAGAAATAGGAGAGTGATATCAAACGTCTGAGAGTCTGGTGCTGCTCCGTCAGGTGGGAATAGTTTGTCCCACTGAGCTGCACGCAGAACCTTTTTCCCAAGGAGAGAATTCAGGGTAAAAGATTGGGCGTTAAGTCCAGCAGACAGCCTTGCCGGTGGGTGATAGCCATCAAAGATGATCCTCAACACTGTTGTTCCACCATCGATGAGAAGTCTGCTCAACTTGGATCCATTTGTCTTCTCTGGGGAGCTGGCTAAGGGCAACGGTGCAGAAGCTGACATGTTGTTCAAGAGTACTGCGGACTAATCCTCAAAAGGTACCCGTGGGGCAAAAGCGATAATCCACGTTCTTTGTGGACCATGAAAAAAATAATAAAAAGAATGATTAAACCGCTAAGGAATTTCTCGTCAATTTCAAAAAGCTGCTAAAATAATGTACATGGCATAATGATAGTAAAACCAACATTTATGATAATACTGATGATATTTTAAGTTAAAATAGCATAAAAACGATGATACTCTATTCGTAACCACCGTCCCTAACCAAAAAAATGTTCATAACCCAACAGTCGTAAAAGTCTCATGTCACATTACATGTACATCTAACATTTTACCTTTTGAGGACTTCACCTGGCACCCGATTAGGAAAAAGTTATATATGACTGTTTGGGATTTCTGAAGAGTTAAAAAAACAAAATCATCTTAATTACCCTTCTAGAATTGATATAGATACATATAAAGAAGATAGTTAACCTATAAAGGACACTTGAGTTTGATTAAATAGAAATGATGATTCAGCTATTGGCTATCCACCATGTCCCAAAATGGTACACGGTAGATTGCAAGATGCAAGTGAAACTACTTGCAATTAAGACCACATAAGGTTAACCTAACTGCATTTGGTAGAAAGCTTCTTAATGCACCAGTATTTATGACTCTTGAATTCAGATGCATTTCATTTTAATAATAAAATTGTTTCTCATTACCTTTTAAGGCAGTTAGGAGAGAGTTCTGTTAATTGAATTAAGATGTGAGTTTTAAAATTGAGCTGAGCCATGCAGTACATTCTGCCCCGGCTTGGAATGCACTATGCCCAGAAAAGCAGGAATCACTACCTTGAAGAGTGGCTCTGCATTTGGTAGGTAAAAAGGTAAAGTCTACACTCAAGCTAATTATATAACCAGTCCAGCAAGAGCTTATCCAGGTTTCTATCGCATGAGGCAACTAGGAGTATTACCACTCCCCCCTGGATGGAATGCTAGATTATGCAAGATACCCCTAGCTGTTTAAACCATGTCAGTCAGACACAACAGCAAAAGAAATTTGTACACCTGCAGTTATGCATGACATCTCATTCATACTCCCATGAGTGAATTCCTTGGCTTTTTTCAAGGATCCCCAAAGATTGAAAAATGCTCAGTAGTACCAGGCCTTTAGCAATTTGTCAGAAAAGATAATGTGACTTAAGCAGCCTACATCTGTAGATCTCTTAATCCGCACAAGGAGAAGAGATTCAAGGAACTTGTTTCAATTATCACTCATTTTCTAAAATTATAGTTATACTTGATCAAATCAAATCTAAGTGCAGGTTTTCATGATGACTCAGCAGGGTAATAAAAGGAAGTGAACAAATACATTATCATATCCCCTTCAAAAGTTTGGAGCCAAACGTAACCTAAGGATTTAAGGCTAGCTACAGAAAAACCTGGACACATAGTCCTAGGTTTTTCCAAGTTAGCCTCCATAGGTTCCAATATAGATGGTGTTTCCTGTGAGAATAGGCTACCCAGGTTCTTCACCATGTTCTTAATTAAAACAAACAAGCAACTTGTATTGGCAGGTGTGGGTGTGACACAGTAAAAACCTGGATAAAAGAACAAGTAGATTAAGAACACCCAGGCTGAAATTTGGTCAAAAAAGTACAATATACATAAGAACACGTTCAGCCTGAAAAATTAATATTGTTCTTGTACAAAGAAATTGGCTGCCAGTTAGATTAGAATAACCTTCTAGGGTACAGTATTACCCTAAGTAGATCAATATATGTGCTGAGCCATTGCACACATAGAGTTTCACAGCAGGTATGGGAATTTCCAGGGTACATTTAACAATTGTTTTTAGACTTGGTTAATTTATGTTACTAAATGACTTTTATCTTCTGTCAGTCACATTGATTTCGTTTTTTGCTGCAGAAACAACATGCTGACATGAAATCATAAAAGACAATGAAACTGAGCAGCATCACAGATAACCCTTTAACCCCTAAGAGCGAGTAACATCTAATTTCTCCTTACAATATCTCCTCTGAATCACACACTTAAGTCATGAGAATCATGGAAATGATGAAAAACAACAGAAGCTCTGGATCTTTAAGCTAATTCTCCTTGTCAGCACCTCAGGAAATGTATAGAGAACAGTATGGAGAATATGCATACTGATGTTAGGGTGTAAGGGATCAAATTTAACACTGCAACAAATCATTGAGAGGTCAACAATATCTGGACAGCCAAGTACAATTCAAGCACCCAGCCTCTGCCACACAGAACTCAAACAACAACAGCTCAGCATGTAGAAATACATGTACATTGACTATTTTTGTAAACATCAACAACCACTCAGGTGAAAAAAACATGCAGAGAATGGCTAAGAGTCATCAGCTTGAGGATGCATTACCTGAATCGGCTGGTGTTGCACAAAGTCAAACCCAAAGGTGAAGTAACAAGCAAAGGGGAAGTAACAAGCAAAAGTCCTACACTGTCGATTTCAAAAAGAAAACACTAGATCATTTGGATTCACCGAAACCAACAAAAAATAATTACAACACAGTTGCAAAGCAGCAAGGAGTCAACATATCAGGGGTGTTTAAGTGGGAAAAACACAAAAGCAAAATTCTGGCAGAACTGACTCGGAACAAGACAAAGAACACAGGTGCACAAGGCCAATGAGACAAAGGAGAAGGATAGCTGGGAAAAGATCCCAATGCAATGATAAATATCCACTGGCTTTCAACCTCTTAGCTGCCAAGTTTAAACTACAGAGAGCAGCAGGAAGCAAAGTGTCCAAACTTTGGTTTAAAAAAAGAATGAAATTAAAAATTGAAGCATGCTATGATGCAGAAGAAGCTGCAAAATTTAAGGGAAGCAGCAACTGGTTCCAGAGATTCAAGAAAAAAACACAAAATGGTACTAAGAAGGACCAACAAGAAGAAACAAGTCCCCTCCAGTTGACACCAAGCATATTAAATGGATGCCTAAAAATAGATACAAAATTAATATTGACCAGGTTCCTCTCCCATTTGTAAATGAGTATTATAAAATAATTCAAATAGTATGCGCGCTCTGATTGGCCATAAAACCATTTTACATGAGCATATGTAAACACGGTTTTCGTTCCTCTTTCATTAGTTATTTCATAAAAGAAATGTAAAATGGTTCCGTGTTTACATAGCCTGATGTAAACACTTGGGAGAATGGGAGAACACTCGATAAGCTGGAAACCACTCCGCTTAGTATAGAAGATGGTTGCCTAAATGTAGATACAAAATTAATATCGACCAGGTCTCTCTCTCATTTGTAAATGAGCAATATAAAACCTACAACACATTGGGTGCTAAGCCAGTGAGGGTGCTACAACCATCACCTGGTTTTGATAAACAACAGGCTACTCTACAACTTTGGACTAGGGCTGATGGGGAACAAAAAGTGAAGCCACCTCTTATCTTCAGAGAAAAAGGGTGTGTGGCCACTGAGGAGAAAGAAAAATATAACAAGAGGGTTGATATGTATTTCCAGTAAAGTGCCTGGATGGATGAAGACATCAACATGCAGTGGGTCCAGGGCACACTTATTCCAGGAATTGGGAATGAAAAAGAAGACAACTGAACGCTTTATTTTGCTTGACAAAGTCAAACATTCCATGAAACATGCAGAAATCAGATCAACGCTACAGTTAACTTGCTACCTAAAAACCACACGGACAAAATCCAGCCCATTGATGCAGGATGTGGTCAGATGATGAAAATTGAAATTGGTACAGCAATGGAAACATGGCTGGAAGAGGAGAACAATCTCAATAAAGAGCATGATAGACTTTCAGCAAAGGTAGCAGGATCTTGATGACCCAATGGTTTGGGGAAGCGTGGAGTGAGTTAAGAAACGATGAGACCTTTTTCAAGATATTATTTAAGAAAACTGGCTGTTTGCTAAGTCAGCAAATGGCTCTGATGATGTAAAGATCTCACCCCAAGGTTTGAAAAATTATCAAATTTAAATGGATCTGATAATTGGACTGGAAATTTAGTAAACTAGATGCTGTCATTTTGCTCTCTCAGTTTGCTTGTTGGATTGGGGACCAGTCAATAGTTACATGGAAAGAGAGAAGGGGAGCTGGTGCATTTCAAATTTGCTTGACTTTTGCTGGGTTATGAGTTGTTTATCACCAGAACTGCTACCCCTCTCCCAACGTAATATTATTGTTTTGATTAATGCAGTTAAGGTTAGTTCCATCCATTAATTAATTAAAATGTTCTGCTTGCACATTGATTTCATCTGTTTGTAGTCTATGCAGTATAAAATTTTGGGAAACAATTTTAAGAACAATTTAGGAATGCTTTCAGGCTGATTTTGCAGAAAACATCCAATATATACAGTCCCCCCCTCCCTGTAAGAATAAAATCAGCCTGAATCCCAAAACATGTCTTCTTTTGCGTGGGTTTTTACTGTACCACACTGTATGCCAGCCTCATAGTGCTCTGCTTTACATGGTTAACGTATACACACAGTCAGATCTGTTGCACAGCTATGGATGTATTGACAGTACACTATGGTGATCTTATAATGCTGCCAGTGATCTGGCTAGTTTTCGTTACCTTTTTGCATCCCATGCTATGTACAGTATCAAATTTGAATACACTCTAAAAGTAAGAACCTTTATTGAGATTTTAGCCCAGAATGGTTCTTTTAAGATGGGTGCTTTACTGGGAAACTTTAGCCTGACAGGTTCTTAAATTTTAGGTTCTTATGCATGGGTTTTGCTGTATTTAGAACAAAGACAGACTTCTTTTGCTGTGAATTCACAAAGCAAACAGTGGTACCACTCATGTACACCTCTAGCAGTTTAATTGTGAACTCTGAGTCAAGCAGTATGAATATCAGTCAAAATTTTGCTTGCAGCAGTTACATGAACACAACACATTTTGCTATCTTTGAAAAATAATGCAAGTCATTCATTAACCCTTTTCACCCTAAAATCAGTATGTATATTCTACATACTGCTCTTTATAC